GTGGGGAAGGTGGAGGAGGGGTCTCACCCCCAGGAAACTGCAGGGGCTCAGGTGACCCAGGACTGACCAGTGGGGTATTCCATCCCATCCACGGGATTACTCGGGGTATAAAGCTCGGGGATCACGAGAGTCAGCCCCTTCTTCACCCTCTTCCTTCTCTGTCTCCCTCACGGCCGACATCCCGGTGGACCCTGCTCGCTCTCCTGCCTCCGACCCTGACCGCGCACCCCCCACTCCGGTTCCCGCCCGCTGTGCAGCCGAGCTCGGTGAGGTTCGGGTGCCCGCCCCATCCGGTGAGCGCTGCGAGCATCCCCAAAGCAACAGGGGACAAATGCAGCCCAGAGCTGCCACGTAGGATGTTCCTCAGGGCGAGGGGAGACTCCTGCCTGCAGCCCAACACTCAGCATTGACGTTCACCATTATCAACAGAGGAGGAATGAAAAAAGCCTCCAGACTGCCCAGGAGCGAGCAGGAGGGCAGCAGGCAGGCAGGCACCAGACTTCCACCCTTCACAGTTAACTGCAGGCGACTGACACCCATGAGCATCACTGTGATGACCGTGATGGTGACTTTGCACACACAATACGCTTCTCAGCCATCAAAGCTCCCTCACTCACTTATTGTTCGGATTAATAAACCTTCATCACTTTGCGACTTGCAATTCTTTACTGGCAACAACCAAGTAACGTCCTCAAGAAAAGTACAATTTCAAACTAATTCATAACTGAGTTACCTGACATAGCTGGGAAGAAGGCTCTTTTTGGCAAGGGGTTAGCTCTTTCAATAAAAAATTAAAGAAGATCCTGACCACTGTTCCTCTAAGAAAATTTTAAAAAATAAACCTTTCTTGCCTTAAAACTTTTCTTCTCTCTCTCGCAGGTTACCATTGATGTGCCTGTTTATCTTGGCACACACTTACATTTACAAGACGTAGGGTATTTTTAATGGCAAATGCAAAGAGGAAGCCCAGACCTGGCAGCCCCACCAGCTATCTGGTCTCTGGGAGCAAACCATAAGTTATCCTTCCTAGGGATCTACGGAGTTGGTTGAAACATTTTCCATAGTATTTCATGGCCTTAAAGTAATAAAAATGAAATCCGTTTTAAAAACCACCAGGGATGAGATTGGCTAGAAAGGCTGTTCCAGCCCCAAGTTGGGAACTACTAGACCTACTGACGAGCCAGCCTCACCTCCATGCCCGGAAAGATCATGGAGCCGATCCTCCTGGAAGACGTTACACAGAATCACAGAATTGATTTGGTTGGAAGAGACCTCTGAGATCATTCAGTTGAAACATGGACGACAGGGAGGTGCTGGGAGACAGTCAACATGGCTTCACCAAGGGCAAATTGTCCCTGACTTAAAATGATGGTCTTCTACAATGGAGTGACTGCATCAGTGGACAAGAGAAGAGTTGCACATGTGATGAGCTACAGACGTCATCTACCTGGACTTCTGTAAGGCCTTTCACATGGTCCCCCACAACTTTCTTGCCTCTTATTTGGAGAGATATAGATTTGATGGCTGGACTATAGATGATAAGGAATTGGTTGGATGGCCACATCCAAATTGTTGCAGTCAATGACTCAAGGTGCAAGTGGAAACCAGAAACAAGTGGTGTCCCTCGAGGGTACTGGGACCAATGCTATTTCATACCTTCATCATCAACATAGACAGTGGGATCGAGTGCACCCTCAGCAAGTTTGCAGGTGACACTGAGCTGAGTAGCGCAGTCAACACGCTGGAGGGAAAAGGTGGCATCCAGAGGGACCTGGGCAGGCTGGAGGAGTGGGTCCGTGAGAACCTCATGAAGTTCAACCAGGCTAAGTGCAAGGACCTGCACATGGGTAGGGGCAACCCCCAGTACCAGCACAGACTGGGGGATGGATGGATGGATGGATGGAGAGCAGCCTAGCATAGAAGGCCTTTCCAGCTTGAAGTCCCATTTGCCTAAATATATTTAGGATGTCAATGACCTCTAAGCAGTCCTTCAGTTCCCAAAGGCTGAAGTTTCTTCATGGAAATGGAGCTCAGGGTCTGACACTGCAACTTATTTATTCAAGCTAAGTAAAAGAAGAAGAAAAAAATTAGATACTCGGTTTGCAAGATGCTGACTCAACTCTTTCTTAATTTTCTAGAGTTTTTTCAACCATTTGCAGCAGGTATGACATAATGGGAGCAGGCAGAGAGGTGAGAAGGAGAGAGCTGCGCAACCACTGCCCGGAGCAGAGCCGGGATTGTCCCTTCCATGCAGAAGCAACACAAGGAGCTACAGCTGCTTGCTGAGCTGCAGAACTAGGACACAGCAATGTCATCCATCTGCCTTCGCCAGGAGCGAGGGCACAGGAGACATCCACTACCATCGTGAAGGGCCAGCAGCCCTGGGATTTTTAACTTCCAGCATGCCAGGAGGGACAAATCCTGCTCAAGATGCAGCAAGGAGAGATGCTGCCAGGGTTCAATGTCAGTGCAAAGTGTCACAAGGCTTTTACACAGGAGGAGAACAGAGATGATGCATGAAAGGGTCTGAAAAGCTCTTAGGGATCCTCTGGGACTAAAGGTGCTTCCCGAAATACCTCATCTGTACCATCTGGCTGTGTTTGGAGCCGATCTGCAACAGATTAAAATTGTAGCTTTTGACTTCTTAAGTCACTAAAAAAGGAAGCAGGTGAGACTTTTAACTGATGTTTCTATTACATATTTTTAGGTAATTGTCACCGTTTAAGGCTGGGCCGG